CTGTTTGCGCTGCTCTGAGATAAGGCCGGGAGGGTCAGGAGCCCCAGGGAGGGTGCAGCAGTGACGCCCGCCCACGCCCACGCCCACGCCCGTGGCCTCACAGGGTGAGGGTGAGAACCTGTCAGGCACACCTTGGCAGGTGTTGAATTTGGCTAATTAAAGATGTCGAGGCCCAGGAATCCAGGCCATCTCTGGCGGCTTGGTTGCATCAGCCGCTACAGGGAAGCGCATTCAGTCCGAGGATCAAGGTCCGTGGCGCCCCGGCTCTGGGCCTGGCCTTCCTACTCGCGTTCAGGGACCTAAGTGGATCTGCAGGGTGGTCGGGCTGCAGGGAGGCACCCACACTGTCCTCCCCTGGGCCCTGCGGCCACTGCACCCATGGGGCACAGACCCCAGTGAGCTGCCTGCTACGGCCCAGGCTTCCTGTGTCTGCACAGTCCTGACCTCAGCCCAGATTTTGGTAGGGCAGCTGGCCTGCCTGGAGGGTCGACCATGGGACCCCCGGAGCTCAGGCATGAGGCCTGCCTCCAGTTCCAACTCAGCCCATCCTTGCCATCCCCTCCCAGGCTAGCACGGGGTGCCCCTCCCAGCGTGGCACCCATTGGGATAGCTACCCCTCTGTCCACCTGCTTCTCTGGGCGGCAGAAGCTAGACACAGGTTCCTGTGACACTGGGACAAGCCATTAGCCAGTGGGGAAGCGGATGCCATGGGGTGTCTGCATTAAATGGTCTCAAGGCATAGCCACAGTGACCGAGCGAGTTGATGACAGCTAAGGTGGAGGGTGTAGGCATAGGGAAGGAGGAGTGTGTTAGAATGTGCAAAGACCCTGCCCTTCCTCCAGACCCAGCTCCAGAGTCTGACCCCAGAGACCCCGGGCCCCTCTGTGCTCCGTCATCATCGGCACAACACCCCAAAACAGCTGGCAGCCAGTGTGGCCAATGCTGTGCAGGTGGTGATGGGGTGACACACAGGAGGGAGGCGGGTGTACACTGGCCGCACCACCCCCTCAACCCCAGCGCCCCGGCCCTGGGACCTAGAGTCTATGTCTCTGATCTGGGTGTCCAGAGGAGTCCAGGAGGAGCTGGGAGGCCCAGCTGGGGCCAGAGGCCGACTCTCCTATGACAGAGCACGTTTCCTAGGCACTGAACAGATGCTCGTAGTTGGGTCTAGCTCCAGGCCCTCAGCCTCCCCTCCCAGCCAGCCCTGGACCCTCCTTGCTCAGGCCCCCCACCCCACCCCACCCCCCACCCCCAGGAGGTTGCAGTCAGAACCTCTTTGCTCGAGCCTGGGCCCAAGCCAGCAGCAGCCCCCTCCCCTCCACTGCTAGCCTGCTGAGAGGGACGTGCAGCCTGAGGCCCAGTTGAGGCAAAGGACAGGAGATCATGTGACCGCGGCCCCCCAGGGGCAGGGGAGACCCTGCGCCAGCCAGCCCATCATCCTCCCTGCTGACCCGGAATCCCCTGGAGGCGGTCAAATATTTGGACAGCCGGACTTCTGGCCCAGAGAAAGCTGGAGCACGGACCTCGGGCAGTTCAGGACTCATTGAAACCCCGATGGGGGGGCCACAGGGCCAGGTCAGCCTGGAGGAGGGGTGACATCCAACGAACGCCAGGGCCGGGAAGAAGCGGG